CGTAGAGACAACCGTTCGCGACAACCGCCACGCGCAGAAGAGATTCGCTCAACTCTCGCCCGCCAACAAGGTCTGCCTTCCGCCAGTGGTCACCGCCAGTGCTACCACTCTACCAACAGCGGTAGTCAACGCGAACTCAATGCCATCTATCTTCCGGCAGTTGTCACCCCTGAAATACAGCTTTTGTGCGAGACAGGTGTGCCACGTGGTGCAAAAACTTTACAGGGGGTGACAACCTGCACAATATATTTTTTTTAATTTAAATAGGGCCTCTATGCATATTTTCAGGCTTTTGCGAATAGTGAATTTTAGTTTCAAAGAGAATTCGAAGTGAATAGTGATTTCGATGAACAATTTCGAATCGACTTCGAATAGTATGTATGGCATCTAAAAGAAAGGGAATATTTATCATGACTAACCTGCACTATTTTTTTTTTGAATTGAAATAGGGCCCGTATGCAGATGCCATTTTTTTTTGTCGTTCAAAGTAAGTCGAAACAACCTTGGGTAGTAGTTTTGGTGAGATGCGAGTGATAACCTGTAAAATACTTCACGTTTTGAAATTTATTATACTTGGAGCATATACACCATCATAAGAAGCTTAATAAAATGAGAATTGATTTTAGTGTAACATATTTCTTAAAGGGGCCCTGCAACGCGTTTTCAAATAGCCATGGAGCCAGTAAACATGCTCGTTGCCTCACAAATTTACCGCCGCAAAGTTTCTAGAATCAGTCTAGTATAAGTGGAGTTCCAAAAGTTTCTCACTCGCTGCAATTGCATTCTCTCTTCTCGTCCGATAAAATAGCTGGAATTTAAGCAGCGAAGGCAAAAGAAAATACACAGGCAAAGAGAAGGCAAAGAGAATACTCTTGGTTGTGACAAGTGATTTTTGAGCTTGTGTCATTTGCGGAGGGAAGGAAGCAATTTTTTGTTTGATAATTTATTGTGAAATACAAGCCGTGTGCTTCACTATAATATTTGCCTCGTGTGTTCTCGGTAGCCTCGACTACCAATCGGCAGCTTTTTCAGACCATGTTTGGCAAGTGTTGCAGGGCCCCTTTAAATTTGAAGGGAAGCTTTGCGGCAAAGCGAATTTTTCTCGGATAGGTATTTTCCAGCTTAGCATTGCTACATTGCAGTGAAATTACTTCTACTATTGATGACATGCGGACCAATATACACCTATTCATTTATTGCGAATACTTCGAAAATATTCGATAATTTAAGTTAGGATCAAAGTGAATTCGAATATTCAACTATTCATTCGAATATTCGAAGCATTCGAATATTTGCACAAGCCTATAAATTTTATTTCTTTTTTTTGTTCAAAGGAAGTCAAAACAACTTTGAGTAGTAGCAGGATTTTATTTTCAGCAGGATGCGAGTCATAACCCTTAAAATACGTAACTTTCTATACTTTAATATACATGGAGCATATAAGCCATCATAACATGCTTATAAGCTTGATAAAATAATTGATTTGAAGACAATATTTTCATTTAAAGGGACCGTCTGACTTTTAACTAGCCTAGGAATGGATTCACCAAGGAAGCTTATTGCTTCATCAATTCATTGTCCAGTACGCGTAGAGTTGCAAAGATTTCTCGCACGCTGCAAGTGCATTCTTTCATCTCGTCCCGACAAAAGCGCTGTAAGTTAAGCGGGGAGGGTTGGCACGGGAAAAGAAAATACGTCACGCGTGCTTTCTGAGCTTGTGGAGTCATTTGCCAAGAGAACAGACCAATTTTCAGCTGGCTTTGAGAATTTATTATAAATTGCGCAGCGCATGCTGCGCTTTAATATATGGCTTGCATGTCCTCGGTGGCCTAGACTACTAATCGGCAGCATTTTCTAACTATGCCCAAAAAGTGTTGCAGAGCCACTTTGAATTCGTAGGTGGGCTTTGCTGCAGAGCAGATTTGTTTTGGATAGGTTTTTTCACGGTTTAGCACGCCTACACTGTAGCGAAACCACCTTCGGATTAATATGCATCTATTCGTTCTCTGTGAATACTTCGAAATTTTCAATAATTTCAATTCGAATCGAAGCGAATTCGAATACCCTACTATTCATTCGCACAAGCCTAATTTCTTCTCATTAGAAAAACTGGTGGGCGCCCGTCGGTACTTGGATTTAAACCCAGTAAAAAACTTGTTGTTGGGCTAGTTGGTAGATAATTTTAAAAAATAATTTGGGCGCAAACACACAAGACATTCACACACACACATCCAGAGTGCTGTCCGTGTTCTATGTGTTTGATGCCTGGTTGTGTGTGTGCGTGAATGTGTTGTGTGTTTGTACTCCAATTATTTTTTAAAAACCCAGAAACTCATGCATTGAAAGCTAATGCTCAATTAGTTACCCATTGCTGTTGTTTTAGTGCATTAATACCATAGAAGGACAGCTCACCTTCTCACATCATAGCATTACAACATTTCATTTGTCCTTGTCTCAGCTGCTACCAAAGCATATTTACTTGAAAACTCAACTTGCTGCTCAAGCTGGAGGATAACGAGAAGGGACACAAGAAATACCGCATACTACCAACTGTTTATTGTCGTTTCATGAAACCAATATATAGAAAAGCCAAACGGCGCTACCAGGCTTGCCTGGTAGCGCAGTATATTGTATATATAGGCTTGTCTCGATATACAATATATAAGCAAGCCAAACTCGACTTGCTGCAAGTCGAGTTTTCAAGTATGAACCAATTAGTCTGCAAAGAAGTATTTCTTCAGCCAATTTACTTCTAGTACTTCAATGTTATTGCTGTATAATGTCTATAAACACGGATGGATGGAAAAACCGTATTTTTTTTCTGGCAGAATAATGGCCCAGGCTCAGGTGTCCCATGTCCGGTCTACAAACAGGACTTCATAACTTTTTGTAAAACACCAAACTTTCTGACTGGGCCTTGTGAGGAGGCCCTACACAAACTTTTCAATTATACCACTTCTTGTTCAATATTATAAAGTCACCTGTTGTTGTTATATGTAATTAAAGTTATTCTTGAATATTTCAAGAGCAGACTCTATGCACACTTAAGTTGAATTACCACGCATGACTCCTGTATGAGCCGATGTTTCTGCATGTATATGGGTACATTACTCACTGTTTCTTATCCTTTCTTTTCAGAGCGGTTCAATGAGACAATGTTTGAAGTGTACAACTTGTATGCACTCAGCATCTGCCATGTGTGTGGCTCCTACCAGTGCCCATACTGCCCAGTGTTCAACAATGCACCAACATCTTTTGGCCAGAACCAAGAGCAAGCTGTGCTGTCTCTGACTGTGCTTCTGACAGTGCTTTGGAGGCATCTGTTGAAAGGGTAGCTGGCTGTTGTGGTGCTGTGACAGTTATTTTTCTCAAGCAACAAGAACAAACTATCACAAAGACATTGCCATTGCAGCTGTGCAGTCTGCTTCAGTCAGGACTTCATTGTGCAGCATGCTGTGGGTTTCCTGTTGGGGCTGGTTCCAGGAAGCCACAGCCTCATTTTCCTCATTCTTTTTTTTTCTTTTCCCACCATCGGCAAGGTGCATTCTGTTCAGTCGCCGGATGAATGTATACCTTCATCACTGAAATGAGGTATGGGGCAGCTTGAGATTGCAAGTTTGTGCATTGCTTGGCTCAACGAAGATGCCCATTGGAAAAGGCACCAGTCAGTCAACACAGTTTTTATAGGCGCCTTTCTTTTCCATATGTTTGTAATTTTGGCATGCGAGGTTCTACTACATAATTTTTTTTTATTTAGCCCTGTGCAGAGATTGGCAACTACTTGTGATTTTTAGGTTCATGATTTCAAGCATTCATTTGCATCGCAACATTTCTTTTTTATTTTTGCCATTTAATGTTCAGAGCCAAGTTTTACTTTAGCATTCATCTGTTGTGAACATCTAGTAGTAGTCATCAGAGTTTGACATATCTAAGCAAGAGTTGTGTTATATATATGTGTTGAGTGCTTGTTTATTTTTGCATTATTTTCATATGCAGCATTTGTCACTATCATAAACCTTTAGCAGTGTTGTTGGACATACCACTTGCTCGAAGACAATGATGATGGCAGTGATTGTTTTAGTTGTGTTCATACTTTCATTTTTTTTTTCACAATTTGAAAGCAATAGTCATCATTTGTGTAAAATTAATCAACTTCACAGAAGGCTGCTGTGATTCAAGGGAAAGAATGTTCACTGAAGGCAGGTCAAGCGTATCATCTCCTATTTGTACAACATTTTATGTGAAGTAAATTATTGCTACATATAACTTTCCACTGATAAAATTGACATTGTTGTATATCATTTTGCAATACCTGTACGTGTCATACAGGTATGTATGTGGTTAGAAATCAATGCAGGAGTGAAATCTGGAAGAAACAAGAAATTCTGACTTCGATTATTCAAGCAGCTATAGTTTCAGAACTCTTGTTGGCAGCCTCCCATTGCATCTATCTGCACTGCTGTTTTTGAGGAAGAATGCAATTGCAGTGTTTGCACTAAGCAACTTCTGGAAGATATGACCATTTAATTAAGGAGACCAAAACATCCTAGCCTGTCTTTAACTTCCCTATATTTGTTTTTCCTTCTGCAGTAAAAGCAATTATTGGAGGCTGCAGCTTTTTGCATTGATGTCCTTTCCCTTTATTGTGACAAATCTCGCAACTTGCTCACTTGTTACTATAAATAAGTGCATCTTACCTAAAAATATACAAATGGGCATCTTGAGCCGGAGTGAATTGTGTGCTACATCGCTAAATTCTCAATATAAACATTGACCTTGGAAAGCTGCAACAACCAACAAGTCCATAGGTTGGGGTGGGTTGTTATTGTATGTTTGAATGACGCATGGAACAACTAAGTCCTGCAGGATTATTTGGAGCAATAACACAGGGCACACTGAGGCCTGAATATGATGCTCTGTGCTATTCATCCTCCTGTCTTGCCAAAAAAATACTGTAAATACAGAGAGATAAAGTGTGTTCGTGCTTCCCTGTGGCTCTTTAATTTTAGGATTTTGAGATAGAAGCTGCCACACAGGCAATGCACTCCTGTGTGAATGCAACCATACTGTTGATCTTAAATTAGATTGTGAATGTGTGGTTTATCAAGCTATTTTTTTCTAACCATTTGCATGAGTCATGTCAAGTAACAATATGGGATAAAGAAAGATAGCTTTTGTATGTGACTTGTACATGCACTAGTGGTGTACCAAACTCTGAGTACATTTGCGAACAACATATTTAAGTTATAGGTGACATGACTGCACGCCACTGTATTGAGGCTGTCAAAACCAATATACTTATGAAGCAGGGGAACTGTGCATTATTCTACCGCCTCTAATTTGGGCACTGCAAGCAAACAAAAGCATGGAATGTAGGTTACTCAGTGGTAACCATTTATGCAGTGTTCAAAATCACTGCATGGCATAAAAAAAACAGTTCAAATATTTACGCGTGTGTGAATATTAGAAAATCTTCCATGATAAATCGAACGGCATCTTATAATCTTCGGCTTTGCCTTTCGTATTCATAAATACGAAAATTTTATAACAGTGTACAACCATTTGATATTGTGAATGACACACAAATGGACATTATGGGCAATTGATAGATAGGTACGTGGGGTGTAACGTCCCAAAACCACCCTATGATTATGAGACGGCGTAGGGGAGGGCTCCGGAAATTTCGACCACCTGGGGTTTTTTAACGTGTACCCAAATCTGAGAACATGGGTCTACAGTCTTTTCGCCGCCATCGAAAATGCAGCTGCCGCAGTCGGGATTCAATCCCGCGACCTGCGAGTCAGCAGTTGAGTACCTTAGCCACTAGACCACTGTGGCAGGGCGACAATATGGGCAAGAGTATCAGAAATTTATGCCTGGAGGCATAATATAGGCATGAAACATGACTTCCACGGCACGTGTCACTCGTGGAGCCAGACTTTTCCCATGTAAGATAGCGCAACTGGGAATGTTACTGGTTTCGACTGGTATTAACTGGGACCAACTAGTTCGAACAGGAAACCAACTGGTCACAGCAATGAAGGAACTGGTTTCAGCTACAAGGCAACAGGAAGGCATGACCACTTGTACTGGAAGTAACTGGCCCCATTTTGGGTGCAGCTAGAACTTTAACCTGCTCTACTGGAAGCAAGTCGTTCCAGTTCACTAGCTGTATAAGCATCATTCGCAATAAGCATCAGATGATGCTTATTCTCTATATGCGTATTGTCATATGCGTATGATCCGTATTGTTATATATCGCAATATATAAGCATCAGATGATGCTTATATATTGCGAGATGATGCTTCTCGCAATAAGCATGATGCATAAGCATCATCTCGTTGCCTTTCTTCTTTCTTTCTTTCTTTCTCTCTATATATATAGTACTGTGCAATATGCTTAATGGTTCTCTGTACACAATTCACTTGCGGTTTTGTTGCTAATTAGATTAATGCTGGTATGTGAACAATCGCTCTCATGTTGTGGACCTACGCATGCTCGCGACGCTTGAAGTTTAACATCCTCGGTCCACTGATGCGTAACGCGCCATGGCACCATAGGAGATTGAAAGTGAGAGGCCCGGGGTGGAAGTGCTGCACCAATTGAGCCATTCTTCGACAATCTGACCTGCTGCGCTTGAATGGCGATTTCCGCGATAATTTTCAATTTCAAGTGTAAACCGCCAAATCTAGCCGATTATTATCGTCGACCGATCAACAGTGAGCGTTGTCTACGGAAAGGTAGGGTGGCTAGAATCGGGAGGTGTGAAAACCGGCCGCTCCAAGGTGGCTCCCACTCGGGAGCCTGCAGCGGTAGCGCTGTAGTCGGAGGCGCTGCCAGCTTTCTTCATTGCAATGCACCCGCGATGGTCGTTTCGAGTTTTTCGCCAGTACAAGAGTTTTGTCAAAGTAAATATTAAACAACGATTTCCCCAATTGTAAATACACCACTTATGAATGTTCACTGAATGAACATTCCATTAGAGCGAAGTTTTGGACGGATCGTCATTCCGACAGCACCACTGTTTATATGCTTCGTGAAACAAAAACGATTTTATTGTCTATAACACTAAACTATGTCTTAACGGAGTCAAAAAAAAAAGAAAGCTTGCTCTAGCGGAGCGTGGTATCTTTGACGATGTTAGTTTGCCAACATTACCTTGTGCTAACCCGCGATTGATTGTGACAACGTTTGCTGCTAAATATGCCTGGACAGTGCGACTTACCGAGTGCAGTTACGTATTGCCATTTTCTTAATGCTGGATTTGTATTACACTTGCGGCAGTATTCTGAATCACGTCTAAAACTGAGACAACACTTAGTTTCATGGCTGCAACACTGTTTATTACAGTAAGTCACTAACGGACATTTTTTTTAACGTGACGCAGGGCTTCAATCGCTTGACCTTTTTCTCGCTTTTTGCTTGGGTCAGACCATTAAAAAAAAAGAGCTTTCGTTACGCAAAATAATCTGACCACTGCTATGTTCAACTCTTTGCAATCTTCGATGCAGCCAATTTCTGGAAATTGCTTAGAGTTCGTATGCAGAACTGCTAAATTCGAATGCAGGTGCACTGTGCTAAACACATGTGTTAATTTGGTTTCTATAGTCTTTAAAAGGTTTCAGAGACTATCACGGATACAGAAGTCCCTTTAAATCCCAATTTCTTGTCGCATGCCTTGGCAGCTCCTTGATTCATTTGGGCAATCCACCAACGTGCTAGGGGTATCGGGACACTTCGTTGCTGGCACGTAGTCTGATGAAGCAGCATTTCGTATTTTTCGTTCTCTAGGCAAACTCTTCGATATATATTTAAGGTGCGTACCGCGTCATCTCTTAAGCTAGTCTTGTCACGCTGCATTCTTCTTGTCCTTCTACAATATGCATGAATGTTCGCAAGCTGAATCTAAAAACCAAGTGAGAATACATAATTTTAGATAAATAAATGTATTTATCGAAAAGCAATGACCGAGGTTTTAAGAGCGCCACAGCGCATTCAATATCTCCACTTGCTGATGCCTTCCACACATGCACACAGGTTTTTTTCTGCCCTTAAATAAGTAAATAAATTCAAAACGTTTACCATGTGTCAAATTTTTTTTCGCAGACGGCGGAATTTTATTGGTGTGCTTTGTCCGCCCTTGCGATGATGCGCTCCTATTTTGCTAACTGTCTTTGCATGCCAGAGCGCACGAAAAAGGAAGTTTTGAGCGCGCGATCTGTGTACCACGTGACCAGCAGCCTCCCCCGGCGTACACTGCACCTGCAGCCGTCTCCGCCGCGCAGGCAGCAGTGCCTCCGATCGCAGCGCTAAATGACAACCTGGCGGAGATCTTGCGCACCGTGGCACCGCTCGGCAAGAAAAACACGGCGCGCTTTTTACACCTTCCCATTCTAGCCACCCTAGCAAAGGACGTGGGTTCATCAGTATCCAGTGTAGTTCTTAGCAGTGCGATCATACTGTAATTCTGCTCATTTATGGGGCTTGCTGGTGCTCGTCTCATCGCTGTTATCACCGTGGCTTTCCCGCAAAAGTGGTTGCACCGATATGAGCAACTGGGAATTATCTAGTGTAGTGGAGCATACGGACCAACGCGTATGCGCCTTCGGAAGACAACGAAAAGCTCGTGCTCTGCTTGCGCGAGAGTTTGTGCCGCCTTTGCCAGACTTGCCGTACGCCCACTTTCCGTTGCGACTTCGCTGCTCGAATAAACGTCATCACATTAGTAATACAGGGAAACCTCGATAAGTTGTACCAGCCGGCAACGCGGCATGATCATGCACTTGACGACAGTGTGATTTTAGAAGTACAAATGTGCATCTCTTGACATGTGTCATCGCCACCAATAAACAAATACTGTATGTACGGCAGCAGATATTACCCAAAGTACCCAACAGAAAGTCTTCCTTTTTGCCAAAGTGCGGAAAGGATACTGGGCTGTCATTCGCGCACGATCGTTTTACAGCGCGCAGTGGCGACGCAAAGGAGCATTTCGAAACTATTAGAGGGCCCGAGATACGTAGCGACTGAAACTGCGACAGAACGGACACTATCGACTTCCCGCAATACGTATGCGCACTTATCTACTGCGACATGATGCTAAGCAACAACTGACTGTTTCATTGAAACATGGAGTGAACGCGTGGACTCGGATCATCTCTGGTTAGTTGCGTGCAGCGTGGTGCCTATCTTGCTTCACCGTCGCTGACGGATGGTTCGCCGTACCGGGCGCGTGGATTTGCTATCTGCATTGCTCGTCCCCGAAAGAGTTGATTCACTGTTAAGCGAGTATGCTCGTCCCCACTTCGCTCCATACTGAACACAGGTGAGCAGTGTAGTGTGTTTAATTAGCGTGGAGATAAGAAGCTTCCGCCAAGCGAAATGCGCCGGGGTTATCTATACTCTGTTTCACACATCAGTTACAAAGCTTCGGAGGTTAGCAAAATTCCTTGCAGTAGATGCGTTCGCGTAAAAAAATTGTTCCATATTTTTTACCACACGGAGTATATTTTTCGTTTTGTTGGAGGCTGAGTATTGAATGAGAATGCTTTGTAGCGCACGTGCGCCCACACACACCTTTGTGGGTGGTAAGTCTTATAAGATCATTAGTACTGCTGTTGAGTGAAAACCATTTGAATTAATTTTTGCTGCTCCAAAACTAACTTGCGTTGCTCCAAATCACACCTCTTGTTGCTTCGAACCTGCTCCAAAACTCCCCTTTTACTGCGCCAAAGCTGCTCCAAAACAGTATTATTCCTGCTCCCTGAGCTGCTCCAAAAAACTGAAGTCCTCTTCCACGCCTGGAGGGGAAAATTAGTTTGGCTGCAAGAGAAGCAATTATGTACTTGGAAGATCACTGTCGATCTGGATTAACCATGATCGCGATTAGGTGCACGCTGCTACACGGTTACCTTTAATCACGATCAGGCGTGATCCGGATCAAGACTATCGCGATCTGCCTGAGAGATCGCAATTTTGCTCTCGTCT